TGGTGGGTTGCCTCTGGTTCCCCCCTCCCCCTTGCCCCCTCTTTGCCGGCTCTGCCCCCCTGCGCCCGCCCCCGGGCCCTGCGTGTCGCCTCTTCTCTGGCCCCCCGCTTGCGTCCCCCGTCGCCGCTGTCGGCGTTTGCCCTTTCGTTTTGGCCCCTGGCTTTTGTCTTGCCGTTCGCCCCGCCTTTTTCTGTTCCTCGTTTTTCTCGGCCCTTCGTTTCCGTCTCTCGCCTTGTCCCCTTCGGCTCTTCTTTTGCCTTTCCTCCCCCTGCTTTCCCGTTCTTTCGTTCTTCTCCTTGTGTTGGTCCTGGTCCCTTGTCTGCTGGTCTTTTCCGTCTTCCCTTCCCGCCTGCTTCCGTTTCCCCTTCTTTCCCTGTTCCCCCGGCCCCCCCCGGTGTCGTCTTCCCGCCCCTTCCTCCCTGTTGTGGCCTCGGCGCTTCGGTCCTCTCTCCCTTGCGCGTCTTCCCCGGTTGGTCCCGGCTGGCGTCCTTTCTCCTCTCGCCTCTCCTGCCTTTGCGCCTTGCCGTTGCCTGCCTTCCGGGTCCGCCGCCCCCCCCGTCCCCGCCCGGTGCCCCTCGCCGTTCCCCGTTGTTGGCCCTTCTTCCTCCTGCCCTCTGTTGTCCTGCTCTGCCCCTCCCTGGTCCGCCCTCTTTCCTCCCCTTTCTTGCTGCCTTCTCCCGCTTTTCCTCTGTGTCTTTCCTTCCTCCTCCCCTGCCGCCTTGGCTGCCTTTCCCTCCTTTCCCGCTGCCGTTGCCCCCCCCTGTCCCCGGCCCCTCCCCCTCGTTCGGTCTGCTCGGGGTGGTGCCTCCTCTGGTCGCTCTCCTGCGCCTGGCCCCGCCCTGGTCCCTTTGCTCCGTTTCTTCCCGCGCCTGGGCTTGTTGCCCCCTCCCCCCTGCCTGGTTCTCCGGCCCCCCCTGGTGTCGCTGCCCGCCGCCCCGGCCCCTTCTGGCTCTGGTGCGGCGTCTGCTTCGCCCCTCTCCGCTTCCTCCGTCGTTGTGGGCTGCCGCCCTTCCGCCGGCCCCGTCTCTCTTCCCCGTGTTCCCCCCCGGCTGTCCCTCCGCCCCCGTTTGCGTTCTTCCCGGTTGGCCCCCGCGTTTGCCCCCTCTGCGTGTTTGGGGCTGTCCGTCTGCGGTGCGGCTCTCTCCCCCCCCGCGCCGCCCCTTGCCCCCCGGCCGCTTCGTGCTTTCTTTCTTGGCTCTGCCCCTCTTCTCCGGGTTCTCGGTTCTCTTGTCCCTCTCCTCCTCCTCGGCTCGTGGCCTCCCGGCCTGCTCCCTTTCTTGCCGCTGCCTTGCTTCGTGGGCGTGCTCGGTTTCCGGCCTTCGTTCCTTCCTTCGCTCCTCTTGCCTCTCCCCCTTCTCCGTCCTCTGGTGGGGTTGTCCTTCTCCGCCGTGCTCCTTTCGTTCTGCCTGCCGCTCTCCCCCTCCCGTTGCGCTTCCCCCCCCTGTTGCGGCTCCGCCTTTGGCCGCCCCCGTTCCGGCCTTCCCGCCCCCGCCTGCCCTCGCTTTCGCCCCCCTGGTTGCCCCCCCTCCGGCTCTCCCGCCCGCTTCTGCGCCGCTGCCGCCTGCCCCGCTTCCCGCCCTGCCCCCCGTTCCTGCCGCGGTCGTTGCCCCGCCGCCTGTCCCCGGTGCTGCGGGTCCCCCCTTCCGCCGGTCTCCTCGGCTCCGGCGCTCCGCCGTTCCTCGTTCTTCTGTTTCGTCTCTCCCCGCCTCTGCCCTCGGGGCTGCCCCTGCTCCTGCCCCTTCTCTCCCGCCCCCCTTGTGCCCCGTCTGCCTTCTGGTTCGCCGCCCTGCCGGCTGCCCTGCCTTCCCTGCCGGCCCCTGGCGTTTGGGCTCTTGTTGCGTTGCCTCCTGGGGCCCCGGCCCTTGGCTGTCCCTGGGTTTTTCCGCCTCCCCGCCCCTCCTTCGGCCCCCTTGCGCGCTCCCCGGCCCGGCTTGTTGCCCCGGGCTTTCCTCCCCCGCCGGCCTCGCTTCCCCGGCGCCCTTTTCTCCTGTCTCCCCGCCCGCTTCCCTTCGGGTCCTTCTGGCCTTCGTTGCCCCTTTTCCTCTTGCGTTGCCCCCCCTGGCTGTGCCCCCCGCTTTCCTCCCTGGTGCTCTCGCCGCGGCGGTTTCTCTGCCCCCCCTGCCGGTTTCTCTTCTCGGGGTGGTGCGCCTTTCGTCTGTCCGCTTCCGCCCTCCCTCTCCGGTTTCCCCCCGCCTCCCGTCCCTGGTCTCTCCCGTTCGCTGGGGTCCTTTCTTCCTTTGGTTTTGTTGCCCCTCCCTCCGCTCCCTGTCTCTCCCCGCCGGTGCGTGGGCGTCCCCTTTGCTTTCTTGTTTTCTCTGTGGCTGCCCTCTTCCTTGCCCCCCTGCTCCGGGGCTGCTTCGTGCTGTGCCCCCTTTCTTTCTCCGCCCTTTGCTCTGCCGGCTCTGGGTGCTGCCTCTTCTGTTCTTGGCCTTCCCTTCCGTCGCGCTCGGTCCCGGGGTCTCCTGGGTTTCTCTCCCGCCCCCTCTCTCCCCCCGTTTTCGCGCGCTTTCCTCTGCCCCTTGTTCCCCCCGCTGCTCCCCTCTCTCCGGGGGCTCCTTCCGTTTGGCCCCCTGTCCGCCCCTGCTTTGGCGCCGCCTCCCTGGCGCCCCTCCCTTCTGCTGCCGCCGTTGGCTGTCTTGGCTCTCTTCCCGTCTGTCCCGGCCGGCTCTTGCTTTTGCGGTTGGCCTGCTCGGGCGTTCCCCCCCCTCCGGGGTTCGCCCCTTGGCGCGCTGTCCCGCCGGTTCTCCGGTCTCTCCCGGCCCCCCCGGTTCCCCGCTTGGGTTTCGGCCGCCGGCCCCTTTCGCTCTTGTCGGTTCTTCCGCCGCGGCCTTCGCTGGCTGTGTTGCTTCTCGCCCTCCCCTTCCGGGTGCGTCTTTCTTCTGGCCGGTGGGGCTCTCTCCTGGCGCCGTGTTCCCCGTCCTTCCTCGCTCCTTCTCCCCTGGCCGCCGCGTTCGTTTCCTGTTTCGCGGCTCCTTCCCCGGGTGTTTGGCTCCCGCCTTTTCTCTCTGGGCTTCGCCTTCTGGCTTCTCTCTCTCCGCCCTTGCCCGTCTCCTGTGCCCCCTCCGCTGCCGTCTTCCTCGCTCCGCCCCCCCCGTGGGCGTCGCCCTTCCGCCCTCGCCCTCCCGTTCTTCGCCCTTCGGCGCGTGTCCCCCCTCCCGTTGTCTTCTTTGCCCCCCTTCCTCCTGCGTTGCTGTTCGCCGCTCCCTTGCCTCCCTGCCTGCCTTCCTTTCCCTTCCCGGCTCTGGTTCCGCCCCTGGGCCTTTCGCCCCCTTTGTCCTTTGTCTCTCCCTTCCGTTTCCTCCCCTTCTTTGGCCTTCCGCCCTTTTCTCCCTTCCGTGTGTCCCCCTTCCTTTGCTTTCTCTTGCTGCGCCCCTGTCCTTCCGGGCCTTGGCCTCCCCCTCGGGTTTCTTTCGTTGGGTTTTGTTTCCTCCTTCCGTGCTCCCTGGCCGTTTGCCTTTGCTCCTCCTGGCTCCTCCTCGTGCTCCTGCGCCCCTCTCCTTCTGGTTGGTGTTTTTCTGTTCTTGCGTGGTCGTGCTTGCCCCCCGTGGGCGCCTGTCCCGTTTCTCCGTTCCTCTTCTTCTCCCCTTCGGCTCCGTTCTGCTCCTCTTCCGTCTTTGCTCTGTGGTGCCCCCCTCCTCCCCTCCTCGCTCGCCTCCCCTTCTGCTTCGGCGTCTCGGTTCGGGTTTCGGCGCCCTCCCGCCCTCCCCCCCCCTGCTGGCCCGTGGTTCTCTCCGGTCCCTCGTCCTCTCCCTGCTCCCCTTCCCTCCCTCCTCCCCCTCTCGCGCGCGCTGCGTCCCGTGCGCGCCCCCCTCCTCGTTCTCTCTGCCGCCGTCCGGCTCGCTCCCCGTCTCCCGCCCTCTGGCTGGCGGTTCGTCGCTCGGCCCCTCTTATCTGCCCCAAAACCCCCCCTCTTACCTTCCTCTCACTTCCTCCGCTCCTCCCCCTGCGTGGCCCCTGCCTTCTTCTCCTGCCCTTCCGCTTCTTCGCGGTTGGGCTTCCGCTGTTCGCTCCACTGCGGCCCCCCACTGCGGTTCTCCTGCCAGCCCGCCCTGGCGCGCCACCGCCGCTATCGGCGCCTACGGCGCCCCCCCTGGCTATCTGTAGTGGCTCTTCCTTCGTCCGCCTTTCTCCCCCCCTTTTTGCTTTGCGGCCCTTCCGCACCGCTCCGCCCATTGCTCCCCGCTCTCGCTGCTCCCTTCCTTGCCTCCCCGCCACGTTTTGCCCCTCCCTCTCCTCCTGCCGTTTCGCCCTTTGCGTCTTTCCCATTGTCCCGGGCCCAGCCAGTCCCCCTCCATGCCCGTCCCGGGCCTCTGCGGCTACTTCCCGCGTATGGCCTCCTTGTCCCCGCTGTTTTTTGGTGAGTTTTTGCCCTTGCTCCTCCTCCTTCCGGCGTACCCCTGCCTTTATCCGCTTTCCTCCCTCCCCCCTCCCGGCCCTGGTCTCTCCTGCGTTGCTCCCCCGGTGTGCCCTGGCGGCCCCCGGCTTGTGGCTCCACGCTTGGGTTGTTCCCTCTTCTTTCGTTTGTTTCGCCTCTCCTCTGTCCGCCGTTCCTCCTCCTTCTGGTGGTTGCCTCTGGTTCCCCCTCCCCCTTGCCCTCTTTGCCGGCTCTGCCCCCCTTGCGCCCACCCGCGCCCACTACGATGTCGCCTCTTCCCTGGCCCCCGCTTGCCGTCCCCCGTCCCGCTGTCGGCGTTTTGCCTTTCGTTTTGGCCCCTGGTTTTGTCTCTGCCGTTCCCCACGCCTTTTCTGTTCCTCGTTTTCTCGGCCCTTCGTTTCCGTCTCTCGCCTTGTCCCCTTCGGCTCTTCTTTTGCCTTTCCTCCCCCTCCTCTCCCTTCTTTCCGTTCTTCTCCTTGTGTTGGTCCTGGTCCCTTGTCTCCTGGTCTTTTCCGTCTTCCTTCCCGCCTGCTTCCGTTTCCCCTTCTTTCCCTGTTCCCCCCGCCCCCCGGTGCCGTCTTCCCGCCCCTTCCTCCTGTTGTGGCCTCGGCGCTTCGGTCCTCTCTCCCTTGCGCGTCTTCCCCGGTTGGTCCCGGCTGGCGTCCCTTTCTCCTCTCGCTCTCCCTGCCTTTGCGCGCCTTGGCGTTGCCTGCCTTCCGGTCCGCCGCCCCCCCCGTCCCCGCCCGGTGCCCCTCGCCGTTCCCCGTTGTTGGCCCTTCTTCCTCCTGCCCTCTGTTGTCCTGCTCATGCCCCTCCCTGGTCCGCCCTCTTTCCTCCCTTTCTTGCTGCCTTCTCCCGCTTTTCCTCTGTGTCTTTCCTTCCTCCTCCCCTGCCGCCTTGGCTGCCTTCCCTCCTTTCCCGCTGCCGTTGCCCCCCCCTGTCCACCGCCCCTCCCACTCGTTCGGTCTGATCGGGGTGGTGCCTCCTCTGGTCGCTCTCACTGCGCCTGGCCCCGCCGCCTGGTCCCTTTGCTCCGTTTCTTCCCGCGCCTGGCTTGTTGCCCCCTCCCCCCTGCCTGGTTCTCCGGCCCCCCCTGGTGTCGCTGCCACGCACGCCCCGGCCCCTTCTGGCTCTGGTGGCGGCGTCTGCTTCGCCCCTCTCCGCTTCCTCCGTCGTTGTGGGCTGCCGCCCTTCCGCCGCCCCGTCTCTCTTCCCCCGTGTTTCCCCCCCGGCTGTCCCTCCGCCCCCTTTGCGTTCTTCCCCGGTTGGCCCCCGCGTTTGCCCCCTCTGCGTGTTGGGGCTGTCCGTCTGCGGTGCGGCCTCTCTCCCCCCCGCGCCGCCCTTGCCCCCGGCCGCTTCGTGCTTTCTTTCTTGCTCTGCCCCCTCCTCTCCGGGTTCTCGGTTCTCTTGTCCTCTCCTCCTCCTCGGCTCGTGGCCTCCCGGCCTGCTCCCTTTCTTGCCGATGCACTTGCTTCGTGGGCGTGCTCGTTTCCGGCCTTCGTTCCTTCCTTCGCTCCTCTTGCCTCTGCGCCGCTTCTCCCGTCCTTGTGGGTGTCTTCTCGCCCCGTGCCTTCGATCTCGCCTGCGGCGGTTGTTCCCGCTCCTTCTCTTCTTCCCTTCTTCTTCCCCTTTGCCTCCTTCTTCCGTTTTCCTTTTTCCGTTGCCTTTTCCTTTCCTCCTGTTTTTCCGTTTCCCTTGTCTTCCGTGTTGCCCTTTCCTTGTGGCGTCTTTGTGCGTCCTCTGCCTCCTCTGCGCCTGCTCTTTCTCTCTTTCTTGGCCCTCCTTCTTTGCCTGTTCTCCTTCTGCCTGTCGCCCGCCTGTTCCTTCGCCCCTTTCGCGCCTTTTCGGTCTGCCTTCTCTGCTTCTGCCTGCTTTCGTGCCTTTTCGGTGCCTTCGTGCCTTTCCGGTTCGCTTCTGCCTCTTCTTCCTCCCTCTTCCGTTCTTCCTCCCCTCGTGTTTTCTCCCGTTCCTCCCGCCCCTCCGTCCCTCCCCCTTCGTCGTTTCCCCTCTTCCCCGCCTTCTCCCTCGGTGCCCCTCCTCTTTCGCTCTCTCCCCGCTTTTCCTTCCCCCTGCGCCCCCTGCCTTCGGGCCGTTTCTTGGGCGGCCTCCTCGTTCTCTGGCCCTGGCTTCCCCGCCTTGTTGCTCCTCGTCCCCTTGCGCCGCTCCTCTGTCTCCGGCGTTGGTTTTTCCCCGCGCTTCGTCTCGCCCCCCTTTCCTGGGCGTCTCCCTCCGGCTTGTCTCTCCTCTTTTGGTTTCCTCTGTTTGTTTCTTCGGCTTTTCTTGCTCCTGTGCTTCTGTTCTTTGGTTCCTTCCCGCGTCGCCCCCGCCTCTTTCCTTTTTCCCCCCTTCCCTCTTCCGTTTTCCTCCCCTCCCGTTCCTGCCCGCCTCTTGTCCTTCCCTTCTGCGTGCTCTGGCCCCCTTTCGCCCCCCGGCCCTTTTGTTCTCTTTGTCGGGTTCCTTCGGCTGCCCTCCCCTCCTCTGCTCCTCCTTTGCCCCCCGGGCTTCTGTCTCGGCCTCTCGTTTTGGTCGTTTTGTCCTTCCGGGTGGCCCCCTCCCCTCGCCCCCCTTCCGTTTCCCCCCTTCGTTTTGGTCCTTCCTTCTGCGTCCCCTTTCGCCCCCGGCCCTTTTTCTGGCCTCCGCCTTTCTCTTTTGGCCTCCTTTTCCCTGGTCCTCTTCTGTCCTTCCGTCTCTCTCTCTCCTTTTGTGCCTCGCCCCTTCTCCCCCCGCCTTCCTTCTTCTTCTTTCC